TTTTAATAGACTTACGTGTTTGTTGGTACAACACAGTGTGAGTACCATCTTCCTCATCAGTTTCTTCCATTTTGAATTTCTCGCAGGACCATGCCATGCATGTGATATTAACCCCATCTTGAATCCTGACTTGACCAACCATCTCTCCATGGACATCTGTCACAAGGATCTGACCACTAGATGTTCCAAACAACACCTGCAGGAAATAAATTCCAAATTAGAAGAAAAAAAAATTAAAATCACAAGTTGAACCCCATTAACTTTAATCCAATCAAAATATTTTCTCTGCAGGAATTTAAAAAATGAAGTGTAAATATCAACAAAGTGCACAAAAAATATGTAACAACAACGTAAAAATGAGCAGTAAATAACTACTAGAAACAAATAAAAAACACTTCTTTTATAGTTTCCTTTTTTTCTAAAAATATTAAAAAAAGAAGATTAGTTTTAAAGTAATGCTAAGAATAATGAGATGGAAATGAAAAGTTATTATGCTTTTATACTCCATCACATCTTAAACATACTTTTGGAAAGAAAAATATGCTTATGACTAGCATATAAAAGTTACCAGGGATTTACGCAGAAACTTGAACTGAAGCACATTTAATCCACTAACAACAGAAATTTTGCATTGACTGAGCACAGATATCCTGCAAATAACATGAAATCCAGTAAAATGCAAAAGTTCAGAGAAACTTTTAACATTATTTTTCATATGTTAGCCGATTGTACTTACTAATAACTACAAACTTACAAATAATTATAAATATCTAATTATTCTTCTCATTAACTTTAAAACCTAATTCACTCCTTTTGGCAAACACACATTTTAATCTGACCATATAACGTTTACCATTATGATTTTTAAGAAACTTTAATTTCACAGAAAAATCAATGTTTTTCTTTAAAAACATTTGTGGTCAGTTTACATACCTGCTGATCATCAGGGGCCCAAATTCCACATGTGATGTTAGCACCAAGATTTAAGTTCGAAGACCAATATCTCTGACCAGTGACTGATCCTACAAGAACAAAGCCATCTTGGTAACAGATGAGGGCCATCCTACCATCATGGCTCCAGGCAAAGTCTGTCACTTGTGTGTTACGGTCATTTATTAATTCAATTGACCATCGGCCTTCATACTTGATCCATACAAAAATAATACCACTACTGTCACAGGAGGCTAGTTTCTGGTAGGGTTCATTCCACTTCACTAGGGTTACCTGCATATTCCCAGAAATGTGTTACATGTACAACTGTTGTAAATAACTAGATAATGAACTTTCATGCAACAAGTTTCATACTTTTAAAACTTAATCTAGGCCTATTTTTCAATGAATAGAAATGTTGTATAATTAAAAAATAGCAATATTTTCTATACTTTCAGGTTCCTGTGTTTATATTTACAGTATTGAAAATTATAATGCAACTAATGAGTAAAACTGGCATAAAATCCAAAAATTATGGGATTGCTCCCCCTCTAATGTATGAAAACAACTGCACTAGATTTACAGTCATGTGTTGGTAGTTTACACTGTGATTGGCTGTCATCTAGCCAATAAGATAATGGTGTAACAATACAATGCCAATAAAAGTAAAGCTGGTGAACCTTACAATTCTCAGAAATAGTGTGGCATGCACTAATAGCTACCAGGATAAAAATGCCACATGTCAAATGTGTAGAAACTGTGGATTTAGCTGGTGAAGACTACACCAAGTGACAGATAGAAGAGAGTTTTCATGTTGCAGCAGGAACTGTATGGAAACTTTGAAAAAGGTAGGTTAAATTAGTACCATTGGTAATAGAAGCAGCAGAGACAGAAAACCTAAACTCAAGTGATGGTAAGTAACTCGGAGATTGTACAATTAATTTATCTCTGCAGTAGCACAAGTCTGGATTCAGAACTTCCTGAAGTTATTTGTGTGAGAGAGTGAGTTGTATGAGATACAAAATGATAAGATAGAAAAGTTTGAAATATATTACAAAATTTGATACAAGTTTATTCCAGTAAGGAACATCAAGCATGTTAAAAAAAAAGTAGAATATAATTATATTTGTTATGAAATTGTAATTTCTGGTAAAAGGTTAAAAAAGAAAGGTTGATAATTTACAGAACACTTTATATATTTACACAAAGCTACTTTTAATTTTAGGGATACAGGTCATTCTACTTACTATAACAAAAGATTTAATTTAAAAAAATTACATATAACAATGTATCTTATGCTTTTCAAGTGTTTTACAAAAAAAGAAGTAGTAATGTTTAATGGTCTTCCATCTTTCAAACTGTCACAATTGCAGAAATGCTTGAATAATGAGGGTTAATCACATTTTATAACAACAATGTCCCATAAACTATCCTGTTCTTTTTTTAAATTATGGATTTATAGAACTTTAAAAGAACTGTCATGATTACAATAAAAGATGCAAAATATTCTTTGTTGATGTGGTAGAAATATAATACTATTCTAGCAGTACATAACTGAGTTTAAGGGAAATAATATATGTAGGTCTGGCTAGAGTGAAGTAATTTTTTGGATATCCCATATTCATAATGTTTAATGTGATGGGAATGTAATGTATGCCATGAAATTGAATCTCATACAGGTATGCACATCACTATTATGAAAAAACATAAGTGGCACAACAACAAAGTTTTTTTAAACAAACTTTTTTCTTCTTTCAATTTCAAAGAAGCCAAGCATATCTTTGATACACGTACATGCTTATTTGTTCCATGATTACTAAAAGTTGTTGAAACATGTATGCCACAGTCATAATATTTTTAGTGCTTGGCTTTTTTTTTTTATATACAAAATAAATGTTACCATGGCCCATAGCAATTAAGTAACCAACTGTCTCAAAACCTCAAGAATATCAGGACACTTTTAAAGCTACATTAATTAATATGTAGCATTCAAAAATTATATAACTGACAATCTTTGAGGCTCATAATTTGGGTGATAAAATATTCAATACACAAATAATAATGAGGATATACTGTCTATTGATATCTATGAAACAAGTTTTTGGCTATTTTACAATAGCTATAAAATTGCATGAATTAATAAGATTCCTTTCAGTATTTTTTTGTTACAAAGTTATAGTATGTGGTTATGTAACTTCTATTTTATATTGATATTTATCAAATTAAGTACATAAGTGCATTTTATACTGACCTGCACATTATCAAATGAACAGCTACAAAAATGATAGCATAAGTAACTCAGAAAATACTCACAAATTCAATATTTTTTGTAGCTTAAAGAGCTTAACAGAAATAATATGACTAATAGAGTGCTTCAGGAATCTATTTTAGGACTTTGTTGTTCATTAGTTATTTGACAGATCTCGATAGCTTTTTCTTGGACAGTAATACCATTTTTTTTTCTCCAAATTCACTAATAATATTAAGAAACTAACACGTACTTATGTTACTAAAAATGTTTCTCTTATTTAAATAAATCATATCAGTTACAGTGACAGCTTAAGAATGTTGAAGATGAGTTTTAATATTTAGAAACATTTGTTATGTT